AAATCCATGCTTCACACGCATGGGGGACTTTATCTCGATCCCTAATTAGAGATAAGCCTACGCCTAACACGCGTTGCCGGTTAGTCTTTTTCCCGTGAAAATGACAAAGTCTATGTATTCAAAATCATAGCATCAAGTCTAAGAGAGTTCATTCTCTTAGCACAACGTTACATATGGAACGGACTTAGATAATCCATGCGCTAGCCCGACTCAAACGGTAGTCGGTAAAGGCTTATCAAATCCGTTGATGACTGAGGGTTTGCCAAAAATCCTATGCATGTTTTCAGGCCCACCAACTTAATGGACGTGAGCCAAGACTTGAAACGAATAAGCTGAAGACAAGTCTCAAAGACTTAGTCAAAATGCATGAAAGTCACCTCCGCGTCTCACATCGAAACGCCAAGGTCATAGCCGCGTTTTAAGTCAGAACGCCAAGGTCAGACCCGCGTCGCAAAAACCATAATGCCGAGGTCAGACCCGCGACGCGAAGACGGATAACGCCAGAAGTCATAGCGCGGTGTAGTCAAAAGCTGAGGTTAGACCAGACGATGCAGAAACCAAAACGCTAAGGCGAGCCCGCGGTTACAAAAAATCATGACCCCGAGGTCACACCCGGTTTCAAATCCAAACGCCGAAGTAGCTCGGCGTTCTCAAATTCAAAACGCATGGGCACCCCCGCATTCAGAAGCAGGATATGACGCATACGTTCACAAAGGTCTACGTGGCAAATCCCTTCAATCAAGTGCCTTCAAAGCAAGTGCGGAACGCACTCCTTTACAACAAGAATCAACAGCTTCAGGATCAGATGAGATCGCAAAGTATTCGAAAATCGTCCCAGTCACCGCGAAACTTTCGAAAACTTTGAGAGGGCGTTCTGGAGGCTGTCTAAAATCACAATAATAGCTTATCCCCCATAACACCGATGATGGAAGTACATCGTGACGACTTCAGAAAGCTGCTAATTTGAAGACTTTCACGTAGATCGCTAAGTTACAACTGACGACCTTCACGACACCGTGAGAGTCTATTAAAACAGCCTTCAAATCAACATCGGAGATTTACAATCTGACGATCTCATATTCTCAAGGAGCCAACGAGATTACAAGACAAATGATCTTTGCAACGCTATGACAAAAAGAGATTACTGGTGCATAATCTCTTGCAAGCAAGACGCGAGGTCTCCCCGTGTATCAACATCAAAACGCGAGGTCGAACCCGGTTTACAACATCAAAACACCAGGGTCGAACCCGCGTCACAACATCAAAACCCAGGGCTCGAACCCCGTTTCAACATCAAAACGCCAAGGTCGAACCCGCGTTTCAACATCAAAACGCTGGAGTCGGACCCGCGTTACAACAAGCGAAATGTAAGCGACCCTCGCGTTCTTAGGGGTCCAGCCAACACCGACCCCCGCGTTTCTAAGCTACAACAAACCAAAACACGAGTGACCCTCGCGTTCATCAATGTTCAGCCAACACCCAACTTCGCGTCTCAATTCTAAGAGGCGAAGTTGGGTTCTGAACGCCATATTGGGCGTTTTGAGTTGTTCAAACACAAGCCGAACGGCCTCAAAACCGTTATCCCACGTTCTGAGGGATTTTCGCCCACTTAGGAACGGATTTAGAGGGCAGTTACACCCCCTTAATCCCCTATAAAAGCGAGTAAACTCAACTGAGTTAAGGGCTGGCATTTTGGGATCTGAGAATTGGCAGCAAGGTTGGATTTTTGGCATCTGAACCGCACGAGGTTGGATTTTCTTGGCTTGGATCGACCACTGGAGACAGGCTTTTGAGGAGATCGACATCATCTTCCAACGAAGATCATCTTCAACTTCAGCAACAGAGAGCTTTCTTCTAGCCTTGGCTTATTAACCGATCTTCGGTTCAAATCAACTCTTTTACAGAGTTCTTCTAAACTCATTCAGAGTTCTCAAACTTGCCACGCAAGTTCTCCACAACGTCAAATCGTGAGGAGAAGACATCGTTCCAGTGAATCAAGACGTGCGGATCGTCAACGGAGAGCAAACTCGACGCAAGCATTCGAGGGAGGCACTCCATCGCCACCGTGAAGAACCCAGTTTTAAACTGACTCCATTGGATTATCAATGTTTAGCGGATATTTCTAATGATGCCAATGAGGAACCTAACAACTCAGTCATTACAACTTCCTAAGCATCTAGCACAGATCAAAGTGAACAAGCGAGTGCTCATATAGCCGGGAATGCAGAAGACTTGGCGAAAAGGCTAGAAGAATAGCAAGTTATTCTTCTCCAACAATAAGAAACTATCGTGCTCATGAGGGAGATGATAGACAAACTCACCAAGGTGAAGGAGAAGAAGAAAAAGAAAATTGTCGGTGAAGCTTCAGGATCAAGATATCGGCGACCTAAATCTGGTGCGGGGGAATCTAGCCGTTGAAATCAAGGGAGAGTCGATACGGAGTATGATGATCAAGAGATTTTTAGAATTCATTCTGAATCATCAGAAGATGAATCCAACCCTCGTAAGAAGGAGCAAAATCAAAAGTTGGATGACTTCCAGAAGCAACTAGATGCATTGAAGCTTCATAAAAACTTCAAGGAACTGGGGATGACTAGACCATACCCCGTTGAATGGGACGTCATCCTCTATCCTTCAAAGTTCAAGCCACTCAACCTCCTGCAGTTCGATAGCAAGGGTTCTCCTACCCAATATATTTATTACTTCCAGGCACAAACTGGACACATAGTAGGGAATGATCCCATTATGACTCGATTGTTCATTAGTACCGTCAAAAGGATCGCTTTTGAATGGTTCCGTAGATTGGAGCCTGAATCCATCACTTGCTCGAAGCACATGGAAATACTCTTCATTGCCAGATTCTTCGACAATGACATAGAACTATATATGGCCACCCTGCTAATCGAAAAATAAAAGAAGACAAAGTCTATCAGTGACTTTGTCAAGAGATTCAGGAATCGATCACTGCATTCCTACGATCAAGTTTCAGATGTTACTCTCATCGAGACATGCTGAAACAACCTATCTATTAATATACTATCCAAAATGGGCACTATCGAAGCTCATTCATGGAAAGACTTGATCTGGCAAGGAGAGTAAGCCGAGAGCATGCTCAAAAGAATAGATGTCGAAGAGTCGCGCGAGTCTCATCCTAGAAGAGGGATAACCAAGGTAACTTTACTCCTCAGTGCCATTCAAAAGTGAAGGATACTATGGCAGTGGAAACGACTTCCTCCACTAAATCTTCTTCTAAGTAAAAAGGTAATTCTTCGTATAACCGCTTCCAGAAGCAGTACAACTTCAAAGACGAACAACTCGTCCCAATCCTCAAATCCTTGATCAAGATGAAGAATATCAAGCTCCCAGAATCAAGACGATCTGAGGAGGCATTAAGGACAGATAATCCTAATTACTGCATGTACCACAGGATGGTTCATCACCCAACAAAAGCATGCTACATCCTGAAGGATAAAATCCAAGCTTTGTTGGACGCAGACGTCATGACCCTTCAATCGGAACAAAAGAAGGTGTCTGTCAACATGGTTTCCTTGCGGTTAATAGGCTTTTTAGAGTTCCAGGTTCAGAATGGTGTAGAACAGATCCCAGAAGCCGAGACCAGGGTCATGAATCTTGATCCTCATCATCAGAAGGAGAAAGATATGGTCCCCTACACTACTCCAAAAGTCAAAGTCATGTGGGTCCATCCGGACCTACTTGTAGACGGGCAATGGGCGTCGACAAGTTCAAAGAAGTCCAAAGCAAAGTAGAAGTCCCACAATGTTATTTCTGCCATTCTAGATGAGGGGGTTGAAACTGCTTCCCTCAGTAGTTCCGGTGGTGAACAACAGACATTCACCACACAACCTGTTCAGACATTGGGAACACGTGGTGGAAAGGAGTACTTGAAGAAGTACCCTGAGGCGGTAGACACCTCACCATAGCCAATACGAAAGAGGCAACGAAGAAGACACAATTGCCTGCTAATGATCCAAAGGCAAAGGAGCTCCATTACAGTAAAGCGCTCAGGAACGGAACTCCTGAAAGCTCGAAGGGCCGCTTTCAATTCGATGTGTTGACACAACTAATCAATATACCGGCAAGGATCATGCTGTTTGAACTCTTGCGTTTATCCCGATCAACCAGGAAAGTTCTACACGAAGCACTAGCAGACAATGAGACGTTTCTCACTCACATTCCACTGATTCGATAGGGGAAACGCTGGAAGCATGCCCTCAGTGTCATCAAGTCTTTCGAGAACGGATATCGTATATCACGTTCTCTCCAGAAGATATGTTCGTGAAAAATCCGAAGCATGATAGGCCTTTATACTTCACAGGATATATTGGCTCCGTTCGGGTAGACCGAATCCAGGTTGACCCTGGTTCTGCCCTCAGCATCATACCTTTGAGGATTATCAATCATCTTAGGGTCCTGTTTCACCGCCTGTCAGCAACAGGAACCACCATCTACGGCTTTAACACCTCCAACACCCATCCTCTTGGCAAAATCAAGCTTAAATGCCAAATGGATGATTTAAAGATGAATGTCACCTGCTATGTCATTAATGCAGAGACATCCAAAAATTTGCTATTGGGTCGACCATGGATCCACAACAACTTGATTGTCGCATCCACACTATATCAGTGCATGAAGTACGTGGATGAGAGTGATGAGGTTAAAATAATGGTCACAGAAAAACAACTATTCAAGGGTGTAGAAAATTATTTTACTGATTCTATCAATTACCTAGATGGTGAGCAGACTGATGCATCACCAGTTGAGGACCTCGATAGTGGCAATGAGGCCGATACCGAACCCGAGTACAAACATGGGCTTGTCTTTAATGACATTGATCCCGTTGTGATTAGCCTTGAGGGCCTCGATGTAAATAACGCCTCTAATGGTGACAGAGAAGTTATCTTCAAAAATAATGAGGGCTTAGCTTACATGTCGTGCATTGAATCTAATTCTGACATATCAGATACAAGCGCCGAATCATCGTCAGACCCTCTGTCATGACTATACGGCATGTCAGCATTGCACATGTTGATTCACTCGTCCTTCGCGAAAAGCCAGCGACACCTTCCAGCTTCCCTGCTCGAAGGATACTCTATAACCCGAGTTAGTCAATTGCCCAACTGATAAAAGATTTCGCTTGAGATCCGGTACATGCTGAACGTCGTTCAACGTCAAGGTGGTCCCGCTCTCCATCTTGAGGGTACAATTTTTCTTTCTGAAAACCTTGCAAGGTTGATCGTCGTCAAGATAGACCGTCTCCAAGTCCTTCTTCACGAAAAATAA